TGTGACTGACTGATTCACGTCTACTCTAGTAAAGTTGTGGAAGTATGAAAATTCAACGCCTACCGAAGCCATTCTTAGGAGTTGCTGCGGCTTGCTCTTGCCTTTTATTGCAATCACGTTCTCAACTTTACTTTTCTCGCTTTGGCTTTTTTCTTTGATTTCTCCCGTTCATTTTCTCCATCACTTTATGCTGTATTGTTTCTCTCCTATCTCTTCATCTGTCCAAGGGCCAAGTGTTTCTCTTTCGAGAGCCTCTCCTTTTAGCCTATATTTGCTGCTACCTTTCTCTAGTGTCACTGTGAGATGTAAAGCAGTTCGAGGCGTTCCATTAAGGCTGGGCTAACGGAGGTGTGCTCAATTAATGCACAGTCATGCCTCTATAACCACTTGTCGAATTCGTTTACACATCTTGATTGGATCACTCGAATGCTAGGCGTGCACTACTTGGATCCGCTCGTCTCTGGCACTCCATACTAAAATTCATGTTTTCTTGAAAGATAAAACCTACACTGGCAGTCACGGCCATTTATCGAAACTATCAAATTCTCGAGTCGGCGAGCAGCGAGCCCCTACTTTGAGAAAAGTGGTTACTGCTAGTGAATAGCGTACCCAGTATCGTGATGTATAGAGGAGAGGCTTGAGGTGATCTCCTAAATTCCTTCGCTTTTGCTTTTAGTCTCACACATGGGATTTATGCCCGTTGCCAAGGTGAGGGTAATCCCTTCGGATCGAGTGCATTTTAGTAAACCATAATATGTTTTTTAACTGTACATCCTTTTTCAGATTATCCAGTGGCAGTTTTCGGTGGACGGAAGTCTTTTGTACTGAGTACTACAAGCTGGGCTGGTGCCAAAAATTCTTTTCTCGGTAAATATGATTGGTCGGTTTTGTAGTTTCTGTGACCCGTTTCTATACTTGGAGGTTTCAGGAATAGCTTATCTGGTGGTTGGATCGCTTTCGATCTTCCTTGGTATTATTTTTATTGGGATTCATATTAAATTTGGCCATTCGTAAGTTTTCTTGTGTCTGCTCTTGGATGTTATTCGCATTATCCTTCTGTAGCTATACAAAATATTTCATTGCCAGGTTGCGTGCAGCATATTTTTTACTTCTGAGTCGGACATAGCAGTTTACGTAGTGTCCTATGCTTATGCATTTATAATAGAAACATCAAATTTGGAGAGAGGAGGTTTTGAAAGTAGTGGTCGACAAATCCAGTGTGTCTGAAAGATTTAGACGCATAGAGGAGTGGATAGGGATCCCAAGGGGATAAAAAGGGTTTTTTTTTTTAGCAGCGGCGCGTCTGCCATTCTCGGAACGTAGCGCTAAAGGCACGAAGACAAGCTTCGGCCCACTCCCACGGTCGTGCCGTCACGTACTGAGAGCGCAAAGATGTTGCGATAATGAAAACCTTATTCGCCTAACTATCATCGAACCATCATTCTCTATTACTTCTGGTCTCCTTTGCAATAGTGTTTCGCCCGCATCCACGTTCACAATTGTGTAAAGAAAAAAGAAAAAGATCTGTCGCCTACGCGACCGAATGTAGCAGGTGTATGGCTTTACCATTAGTAATATTAATAAAAGCATTAGTCTTTAGAAATGGGTGTGGCACTGGGATTTTCGGGAAGGTAAATAGCAGTTTTGAATATATTTGTCTATTCGATGAATGGCAGAGCAGCATGAACGCGGACTTTGCGATCAGAAGGCAGCTCGTTATGATTAAGGTAGAGGTGCTCAGTCCGTCAGAGTCAACCGTACGTTTGCGCAGTTCGCAACGGCACGTTGAGAGATCCTCAACGCACGCTGTATGGGCGGAGACACAGACGGCTCGAGCATGCGAGTGTGAATGTTCGCGCGAGAGAACGTGTCTAATCGGGCGAAACTGCGCAACGTGGCCGTTGAGAACTGCGCAACGCAGGGTTGACTCTGCTAGCCACCCGATAGCGCTACGGGGAGGGCCATGCCAAATGGCCGGGGCATATCCTATCCATAGCTACGGATTACGTGTCGGCCCGCACCCTCAAGGGTTCCACCAGCCTTCACACTACTAAGGAAAGGAGCCCAGGTCGCCATGGTCATTCAGGAAGAGTTGTATACGCCTAGATGTGCCTTCGAATGCTGATCTCGAGTCTGTCTTCCAAATCACGATTTTCTGAATGGATTTATGGAGGCAGGAACAGCACAACGGTAGTGGTCGGATCTCTTAACCAAAACGCCGTAGAATCGGTCTCTTATGGTGTTTGTCTTACTGTTTTGCATTCTTCAGGAATTCAACTGTATAGGCTAGTCAAAAGCCGTTCTTGAATGGCCATGACGGCCTGGGATCTTCCTTGCTAGTAATTTTCTCCTTCACCGAACTCCGACTTTATTGTGAATCCTTTTTTGAGAGGTGGTTACAGTGTTTTGCGCCATGCATTTCGTTTCATGTAACCATACGCAGAGTTTTTTGAACTCGTGGGTTGAAACGATTGTTTCTAAAACATATCACATTAACTAAACAATCACGCCGACCCTTCGAAGTGCTCAAAATCTGATGGATGATATGACTTTCATTAGCGAGATCCGAACCGTTGTAAAGCTAAATCGTGCAGGATTCAATCTTCAGATCGTTTACGTTAGAGCAGCGCCTCCCGCCTTCTAAATTGTTTTGAAGAATAAAAATCATGTAGAAATCAACAGTGATCAATGCTAATTATCTATGCCCACTTTGGCTGTGCAACTAAAGCGACAAAAAAGGTGAAATGAAGTGAGGTGGGGCTGGAAGGGGGGAGATTGGGGGAAGGCATGGTGGCTGAAATTGCGCCTTGCGGTGTCTGTAGATATGACCCCAGAGGACCCCGAGTTTTATACCATACCATGTCCCCCTTGCATTTTTTCATTTTTTTTTGGGTTAGCAGCAATGTTTGAGTAATTTTCTCTTTTTGAACGAGCTTTTCAATGTTGCAAATGTCATAGCTAACAATATGTTGTTTCAGAGTGAACGAGTTGAGTCAAGTTGGCACTACACACTAGTTGTTATAATAGTATAATCTGTACAGTACCATCTATTTTTCCAACTGGGAACCCCACAACGCACTCCAGTTTGCTCCTTCATATGCTCATAATTGTTAATGTGTCAAAATCATCCTAATTCTATCCCTGGCACTTATTTCATCTTCCTAAATTACATTACCCAATTCACTCCATCGCTTTCCCAAAATCCATCATTCCATTTTGATTGTTTCGTGGTTTCGTTTACGAGACATTTTGTTTTGATTTAAATTTTTGAGTCACCGTTTAACATGTCTAGCATTCTATCTCTTAGAAATCTCTTACAGTCTAACACTCACGATTTTGTACGTGTTGTGCTACAATTGGAACGTGTTCCGTTAACGTATCACTGTGATATTCTTAAAAGACCTTTAGAATTGTTTTAGTGTCTGTCTGAACGCCTTACAACTTGTGATCTTGCAACTTATGTTATACAACAGTTTATACTTTTAAATCTACTGCTTTATAAATAAAGATTCACGATTTTGTTCCTGCTTCTTTTACAGTAAAATTTCAAAAGAAATTCTTGGAAAATGAATTTCAGCTAGTGATAAACCAGTTTTGTTGTTT